CAATGAGATAGACTGACACAGGGTACAACCAAGACTCAAAAATGGTGACAATTGTGAGGTTGGCCCAGGACTGGGCAGTGTTTTGTTCTGTTGTGTATGGTGTTGCTGAGTCAGACCGGATTCCAGGGCACCGAAAAACATTATTAAATAGTTTTTCTCCTGAAAAGGTTTGCCTCACTGGCTAGTGGGGGAGGTGTGGAAGGGCCTCCCCAGGGGAGGGGACTCCTAAATTAGGAGTTTCCCAGGAGATGTACCCGCTGATGCTAAACAGGCTGGCGGGAGAAGAGCTGCTTCCTTCTCCTGGGGCCTCTGGCTCCGGCGGGGTGGGGATTAGGGAGTGTTTACATAGCACCTTTGATTAGCACTCCCGTGTCAAGAGGGGCTGGCTGGGGAATGAGGGTATCAAGGCAGGAGCCCCTCCCTCCCCAGAACCCCAGCCTGCCCTGAGGAAGCTGGCTGAGCAGAACCACAGGTTCAGGCCTGACCCAGGTCAGCTAGGCCCGCAGCCTAGCCAAGGACCCCGGCTGAATGTGCCTGACTAAACTCTCACCTCTGCCCTGGTGAGGTTGTCCCAAGGCCTCATTTCCCAGCTTTACACATTGGCAGGCAAGGGCAGGCAGGCCAGGCATCAGGAGCCAGTGGCTCCGGCACTTGTCAAAACACAGGCCCCTGAAGTGTGAGGTCTTCACCCCCTCAGGAGGGTGTGCAGGCGGCTGGAGAACTCATTTACTCCAGCAGCTCCCAAATGAACCCTCTGGAGAGGCTGGTGATAAGGACATCAAAGGTGAGAGATGCAGGCATGGGCAAAGGGGAAAATGGAGACTAGTTGATTGGGGGGGGGTCCCTTCTATCCCCCCACTGGACTCCATTAGACCCACTGATCACAGCCCTTGCAAACTGGGTCCCGAGTTAATCGTCCAGACTCCAGAGGAGCAGAGGAGGTGGGGACTTCCTGTATCACTTCCATTTGTCAGCCTTTGTTGTTGTTGTTAAGTGCTGTCGGTTCCGACCCATAGAGACCCTGTATGGGGTTTCTGAGGAGTGACTGGTGAGTTTGACCCACCGACCACACAGTCCAAGCCGACTTTGCTGTCCAGTGCGCCACACCAGACTGAATAAAGGAGGCTTGCTGACACAGTGCTTAAGCGCTTGGCTACTAGCGGAAAGTTGTTTATAGGGAGAAAGATGGGACAGTCTGCTTCAGTAAAGTTGTTGTTGTTAAGTGCCACTGAGTTGGTTCTGACCGACTTTGCAGTTCAAATGGCTTTGCAGTCTGGCGTATTAATCCACAGCTCCACAGCGCCACACCAGGATAGGCGTGCTAGCCACACCAGGATAGGCGTGCTATAAATGGGAATTGACTCAACAGGGTATAGATGGGCAGCGCATTTTTTGGCTTAGAGCTGAACACCCCAGGGCTGGAGATGGGACCACACTATCTGCCCAGCCTCTGTCTCCCTATTGCCTAGTCTCTCTCATGCCCCCCTCATTGGCTCGCTAGCTCCACACTAGCCCCTGGGCCCTCTAACCCTCCCTCAATACTGGCATCAGAGTTTTTTCCATTATGTCCCTCTCCTGCTCCAAATCTTGCAGTGGCTCCCAACACCTCAATGGTAGTTCAGTCTGGAGTTCAGGGACCAGTGTGGGAGACTGTGGTTAAAGTCAGGCTCTAAATAAACCCTTTGAGCCCTATACAAGCCCATCACTACCACCTGGGTGACCTTGGGCAAGCTTTTCCGGGTTGCTCAGCCTCAGATTCCTTATTTGTAAAATGAAGAAATCACTGTATGTTCACTGTAGGTTCAAACAACCCTCAAAGAGTCATGGTGGAGATTAAGTGGCAGAATCCTTGTCACTGCTCAATGAATGTGAACTATTAGGTCCCAATCTGAGACTCTGGAGGGGTCCAAAGCTGTGTTTTCAGGATAATCAGTTTGCCTCTCACACATATGGTCTCTTTTCCAGATATGTATAGTTGATTTAGTACTTCTAAAAATTCATTTCAAAACATTGACAAAAAAACAACAGAGGAAATCCAGTAGATTTCAAGAAAATAAGAGTGTAGTGGTTACAAATCAGGCTGCGAACTTTAAGGTCAGCAGTTTGAAACTACCAGACGCTGGAGAAAGATGAGGCTTTCTGCTCCCGTAAAGATTTACAGCCTTGGAAAGCCTGTACAGGGTTGCTACAGGTCGGAACTGACTCGGTGGCACTTAACAACAACAGTAACCTTACAACTAAACCAAATCGTACTCCCAGCCCAGCCCGTATCTCTAACACTGTATGAAACTCTAGTCCTAACCTACACCTAGCTATAGAGTTGTTATGCCTCCTGTTCTTGAAATGACTTTTTAACCATGTGCATATATTATATATTCAAACAAATAAAAATGTAACAATAAAAAACAAAAGGGTAGTTGACTAGGAGGTTCTAATCTTTCTGAGCTCTCTCAATTATTTATTGCAAAATAGACCTCAGATAGACAACAGGATACCCAGAGTCCCCTGGGACCCCGCCTCTCCTCCTGTCCAGCTTTCTCTGTGCTCCTTCCTGCACCCCAACCCCCCTCCCCAAATACACTCCAGCTTGTTGGGACTCAGCGGGATCAGAGTCTCAGGCACCCAGGTTCTCTGCTTGGATCTGGAGCCCCAGGAAGGTGTAGACTCTCGATGGTCCAGGAGAGCCTCCCATTTAGAAAGGCTGAGGGGAAGCGTCCAGGCCATGTTCTCTTTGGGAGTTGATAGGTCTGAGAGCTTGTGCCCGGGGAATGAGTAGACTGCTTTCCCGCTCCCCACCCAGGGGCAGATTACTACCGCCTGTCCCCAATATGACAGTGGGCATGAATATTTTGGGAACAGATTGTGGAGGCAGGGGTATAGAAGGTGTTGGAGGAGGCACGGGCAGTTGAAGATAAAGGACACAAAGGAGGGATGTGGGCAGTGGTGGTGGCAGAAACATTCATGGAGCAGGTGCTAGGCTCCTTGGTTTTCACTGCTACCAACCAGTTAACTCACCAAACTCATAGGGCTGGATGCCGTAAGAAAAGCAAAGACCCCTAGATAACCACTTCTCTCTCTCTTTTTTTGGCTGGGTCACATGGTATAAAACATCATACTGTTTCCCATAGTGTTGGCACAATTTTATAGTTCCACCAGCAGTGTAAGATGCTCCCAGTCTCTCCACACTCTTGGCAACATTTAGTGTTTTCTGTTTTTTAAGTTTTTATTGTGGATTGAGTGATAGTTTACATGGGAGAACATTGGTATTATACTCGTTTCATTGCAATGATTACAATCCCCTCCATGTATCATCATTCAACAATATTTGCATCTATTCCGTTTCTTTTGTTGTTTTTTTTTTCTAGGTACACAAAAACACTCAGGAATATATAATCACTTAAACAGCCAAAGGGCACATTCTGCAAGCCTGCCTCCTGGCCACAGTCTTTCTCTTTCTCTTGCCATGAGTTTAGAGTCCTCAGATGTTCGGTCTCTCCTTGTCCTGGATGCCACTCCTCTTAAAGGAAAAAAAAAAAAAAAATCCGAAGACCAGATCTCAGCCGTTACGTCTTGCACGATCTAGCTGGACATTAGACATTCATGAGTGAAGTGGCTATTAAGTGCAAACTCAAAACTCCTGAGACAATGCAAATTCTCTGAGGTTCCCTCTGCAGACTACCACGTTGTGTGTATTTTCTATTAGTGCTCTTTATCAGCCTGAATATCTCATTTCAAGAAGCTTGGTAGGGTAGTGGTTATGAGTCCGGCTGCTAACCTCAGGTTCAGCAGTTCGAAACTACCAGCTGTTCCGCAGAAAAAGATGAGACTTTCTGCTCCTGTAAAGATATACAGCCTCAGAAACCCTATGCAGGGTCACTGTAAGTCAGAACCGACTCCACGGCATACCACCACCTCTCATTTCGTTTTCTTTCTTTATTGCACTGGCTAGAACCAGGTAAAGAGATGCCTTGTCCCTGGTATTGGGGGAATGCTTGCAACCTTTATTGATCATGAATGATGTCAGCTGTAGACTCTGCAGATGCCTTGTTGGATGAAGGAAGATCCCTTAATTCCTAGAGTGCTGAGAATTTTTATCAAGAAAGGATGCTGAATTTTGTCAAGTGCTTTTTTGTGCATCATTGACACTCACTGTCAAAGCCGTTATACCTGCCAAGCAGCAGCAGAAAACCAGCTAGCCAATGGTGGCAGCTGTGCCAAGAGGCTGACTCTGATCTCCCTAGACTGAGGGTGTCCTGGAGAGATGCCTCACCACTCCCTCTGCTCAGATGGTCCAGTGAATGGTCCAGCTGTTCTGTTGGATTTGCCTGGTCTCGAGAGCTTCTTTATGGTGTCATCTTTTACCTACTGACTCAACATCACCAGGACCGGGTCTTCTGTGACCACCCCACCCCACAGAGACTGGGTCACTGTCACTGTGTCCCCTCTCAGTCCAGACTGCCACATGTCCTGTTGTTGTTGGTGGTGGTGCTAAGTGACTCATGGCAACACTGTATAGGGGTTCCAAGGAGCAGCTAGTGAGTTTGAACCACTGACCCTGCAGCTCAAACCGACCTTGTGGCCCGTTGCATTATCCTCCCATTATACAAATTGGAAAGGAAATTTAAGGATTTACATAAGGTCCCCAGCAGGTGAAGACACCCCTAAAGCAACTGGACTTTCAGATCTCCAACCCCCGCTTCCTTTAACCTGCTGAGCTGGCCCAACACCTCGGACACCGCTGGCCACTGGTCACAGTTAGAAGGCCCCCACTTGGGTGGGGAGCCCAAGTGAGGGTCCAAGTGACAAGCCAACGGACCAGCACCTTCCCGTCCCCCATCACCCACCCCCCACCCCGTGCTGGTTCAAAGGGTCAGGCCCTACCCCCTCCAGGCCCTGAGCTCGCTTTGATGTGCTGATGCAGCCTGGAAGGGGCCACTTCACACCTTGGGCTCAGGATAAAGCGGCCACCGGTCAGTTGCCCGAGACGCGCCGCCGCGGCCATGACGCAGTCACTGTGCTCGCCGTTCTCGGAGTCTTGGATGCTTTCCGCGGGCTGGAGCTCAGCTCTGCCGCCCCGCTCCGATAGGGACGACGCCTGCTCCACCGCCTCGTCCCCGAACTCCTGGGCCCCTCTGCCGAGCCCCACGCAGCCCCGCGAGCGCCCGGTCTCCCACGCCCCGAGGGCAGTGAGGCGTGCCGCCCGCGGGAGCCGCCTGGGTAGCGGGCAGCGGCAGAGCGCCAGCGAACGCGAGAAGCTGCGCATGCGCACGCTCGCCCGCGCCCTGCACGAGCTGCGCCGCTTTCTGCCGCCGTCCGTGGCGCCCGCTGGCCAGAGCCTGACCAAGATCGAGACGCTGCGCCTGGCCATCCGCTACATCGGCCACTTGTCGGCCGTGCTCGGCCTCAGCGAGGAGAGCCTGCAGCGTCGGCACCGGAGGCTCAGCGAGGCGGTGCCCTCTCGGAGCTGTCCGCTTTGCCCCGACGGCGGTCCAGCGCAGACGCAGACGCAGGGCCTGGGTTCGTCTGCTTGCGCTGCCGAATCCTGGGGGTTCCCGGCCGCGGGTCTCGGAGCCCCGGCAGCTGTCAAGCCTCGCGACTCACTGGTGCGCTATGATGAGACGGTGTGCCACGAGGGACCGGCCATGGCACCGAGCCCCTCATCTCCGGTCAGTACCTCCTTCTCTACGCAGAACTCCCTCCCTCCGGGCCCCGACTACTGCCCGTGTCCTGGGGCACGTCCTCACTGCGGGGACCGGTCTCCTGCCTCACCTCCACCCGCTGCCTCGCTCTCTCTGTCTCAGAGCAACGAAGTGTGTCCAAGGTGTCCAAATGGTGAGAGGAGGGAGGGGCACACAGGGGACAGGATCCCGTTTCTCGTCAAAGGGCCCCTGAGAGTAGGGACACACACACAGTGGACAGTACTCAAGGCCGGTGTGCACCCTCTCTCCCCTGCAGCTCTTTCCTGGCGACGTGCTGGCCCTGCTGGAGACCTGGCTGCCCTTGTCACCCCTGGAGTGGCCGCCAGCCTGAGGAGCCCAAGTGACAATGATCAACTGGTGCCCAGCACTGAAGCTTCAGCAGCTTGGAAGCAGCCCCTCTCCAACCTCCCTGTCCTGAAGGAGGCAGTGGTGGGGACATTCCCTGGTTCCCTGGGGGTGAGAGCTACCCCTACCCGAACAGCTCCAGCTAAGAAGAGGGACCTGGAGGGTCGGATACTTTAAGGCAAGCAGAAGGCTCTGGTTAGTGTGTATTTATTTATTTGTGAATAAATAGTGTTTTGCTGTTTCATTTGGCAATTCCTTTTTCTTCTACCTGGACAAAAAGCTTTCTCCTTTCCCTAAGAATAGCATGGTAGAGGACTTGGGATGGTTTCTTGCAGTTCTCAGGCCCCAAAATGCATAGGCTCAGACCCCATCCTGCCTGCTGCTAACCCTGGCTCAGCATCTCCAGTCCAGATGGGTCATTTTGGAAAGCATGGGGTGGGGGGGCCTTCATATGAGAAAGTGGCAGCAAAAGTAGAGTCTGTCCATCTTTTCTTTGAACCTGGTGGGGAGCTGGATAAAATGGGGTTTCTCTGTGAAGTCCCTTAGTGGTGCAAATGGTCATTGCATTTGACTGCTAACTGAAAGGTTGGAGGTTTGAGACTACCACAAGGCACTTTAGAACAAAGGCCTGGTGGTCTACTGAAACATCAGCCATTGAAAATCCTATGGAGGACAGTCCTACTCTGATGTACAAGGGGTCACCGTGAGTCAAGTTACGTACTTCTGTGCATCAGGTAGTTTGCACATAGTACACCCAAACACCCATTTTATAGGAGGCCTGGTGTGACATTGTAGGAGAAGCACTAGACTGTTAACCACAAGGTCGGTGGTTCAAACCCACTAGTTGCTCCTCAGAAACCCTATACAGGATCACTAGGAGTCAGAATCAACCTGACGGCACTTAACAACAACAACCATTTTACAAAAGAAGAGACATCAGTGCTCAAGCCAGATAGGACTTGTGTCTGAGCTCTCACTATGCCACTGGGATGAGCTATTGGTGGCATAGTGGCTTAAGCATTGGCTGGCTAACCACAGGGTCAGCAGTTCAAACCTGCCAGCAGTTTCATGAGAAAGATGAGGCCATCTGCTCCTGTAAGGATTTAGTCTTGGAAGCCCTACAGAGCAGTTCTGCTTTGTCCTGCATGGTCTCTCAGAGTCTGAATTGACTTGATGGCCGTGGGGTCATTTATTCTGAGACAGAAGCACTGGTGGTGTGGTGTCTGCTAACTGAAAGGTCAATGGTTCAAATCCACCAGGCGCTACAGGAATGAAAGTTAGGGCAGTCTGTTTCCATGAAGACTTACAGCGTTGGAAAATCTGTTGGACCATTCTCTGCCCTACAGTGTAGCTGCAACTTATTTGGGGTCATGAGGGGACACCAGTTCCAACATGTCACTGAGCCCTACTCTCCTTGCACTAGCCTGGACCATGGGATTTTCCCATTCTCCCTTCTTTCTGGTTTCCCTCCCATATTTCTTAGGGACATAAAATAACATCACTGAGAACCATTTGACCTAGTCTCGATGGCTTGGTAATCAGGACTCGACTAGAGGAAGATAGAAAAAAAATTTTTGGTAAAGGAAACAAGGGTAAATTGATAAAATTTGATGAATTTGACCTATACTCATGGAGGTAGTCAGGAGCTCTGGTAGCTTAGTGGTTACGAATAGAGCTGTGAATCTCAGAGACAGCAGTTCGAAACTACCAGCTGTTCCACGGGAGAAAGATGAGGCTTTTTGCTCCCGTAAAGATTTACAGCCTCAGAAACCCTGTACAGGGTCACTATGAGTTGGAACCGACTCCACGGCACATCACAACAACAACAACATGGAGGTAGTAACTCTAAATATCAACAGAGAGGGGAGGAGTCTTCACATCAAGTAGCAATGTTATCCCCTCTGTACACAGGGTAGATAGGGACGGACAACTTAGACATTGGTTACCTAAAATGTGGGGGTGATAAAGGCACGAAGTGATTGGCTTACAAGGTTTCAAGGGAGAATTTAAGAGTATGTGGGAGCAGAAAGAGTCCCTGCTGATTAGTTTTCATCTTGTCTAGATGGATCTGATTAAAAGAGATGGGGATAAGATTCTTAGGATTCAATAATGAGTAATTGTTATCATGACTAATTGCAGCTGTCACAATTGTAAAGGTAGAAGTTTTGTAACAAAAACGGGGGAGTAGTTAATCTTACAGTCCAGAAACAGAGGACCCTAGGACCATCAAGGGAGAAGAGCATGAGTGGAATGCAGGACTTTATCCAGAGAAGCAGCGACACCAGAGATGGAGGCAGATATGGGGACATGGAGAGAGGGAGCAGCTGAGGACTCTAGATTCATGGAAAGAGAGGGGCTGAGAGCTGGCAGCCAGGAGGCTGACTTGAAGAATGTGCCCTTTGGTAGTGTAAATTAGTATATATGCCTGAGTGTTTTTTTAAAAAAAGAAAAAGAGCTAAAATGAATAGAAATACTGTTAACTGAAGGTACATGGAGGGGATCATAATCATTGTAATGGAACAAGGTGTATAATTTATTGAATGTAAAACGGATGATTTGCCCTGTAAACTTTCACTCAATTCACAATAAAAACCTTTAAATAAATAAATGAATAACATCAGTGAGCCAGTTCATGTCACCACTAACTCCTGAAGGTCCAGTGGAGTGGAATGAGGGACCTGTTAGAGTTTGCCTTCACTGAGACATCCTGCCGAGGCCTGATTGCATGGAGAGGCATACAGCTAACCTGGAATTGGTTGGATTCAGATCACAGAAGCACTCTAGGGCCGAGTCTGCCCTTAGCCAGGGTCCTGGTCAAGACTCTTGGTGGCGGTGGTGGTGATATGCTTAGTCCTGCAGCTCAAGTATCTGAAGTATAACCCTTATTGTCAATATATATATTTTTAAGTGTTACGGAAATAAAATTCACGTCCTAAAATTCATGATTATAATGTGTGTAGTGCAGTGGCTTTTAGACTGTGTAACTAACAGTCACTACTATTTGATTTTAGATCATTTTCATCACTTCCCAAAGAAACGTACTTTCTGGTCTCCTCTTTCCCTAGTTCTTGGCAATCACTCATCTTTCTGTCTCTCAAGATTTGCCTGTTGTGGATTTTCATATAAATTGTTATTGCTAAGTGTTGTCGAATTGGTTCTAATTCATAGCAGCTCTATATAGAGTTTGTTGTTGTTGAATGCCATTGAATCAGTACCAACTCATAGTGACCCTATGTACAACAGAATGAAACACTGCCCAATCCTGGGCACGCTTTTTTTTTGTTTGTTTGTTTGTTGCCCACATTGAGCCCATTGATGCTGCCACTTTGCCAATCCATCTCACTGGGGGGTCTTCATTTTCTCTGACCCTGCACCTTACCAAATATGATATCCCTCTCCAGTGATTGGTACCTCTTGACAATATGTCCAAAGTACGAGAGAAAAAGTCTGGCCATCCTGGCCTCCAAGGAGCACTCTGGCTGCAGTTCTTCCAACACAGATCTGTTTATTCTTTTGGCAGCCCATGGCACTTTCAATATTCTTCTTCAATACCATAACTCAAAAGCATCAATTCTTCTACGGTCTTCCTTATTCACTGTCCAGCTTTCGCATGCATAAGAGGTTCTAGAAACCATGGCTTGGGTCAGCAGGCATACCTTGGTCCTCAAGCTGACATCTTTGCTCTTCAACACTTTAACAAGGTCTTGTGCAGAAGATTTGCCTAGTGCAACATGTCGTTTGATTTCTTGGCTGCTGCTTCCATGAGTGTTAATGGTTGATCCAAGAAAAATGAAGTCTTTGACAACTTCAATCTTTTCTCCATTGATAAGAATGTTGTTTATTGGTCCAGTGGTGAGGATTTTTGTTTTCTTTACATTGAGGTGCAACCCAAGCAGAAGGCTGTGCTCTTTGATCTTCATCAGTAAGTATTCTAAGTCCTCTTCACTTTCAGCAAGCAAGGTTGTATTATCTGCATATCGCAGGTTGTTAATGAGTCTTCCTCCAGTCTTTTTTTTTTTTTTTAATTAAATGTTTTTATTTTGGATTGAGTGAAAGTTTACAGGGCACATCATCAGCTTCACATTCAACCATTCATATAGCTTGTTTCATTACATTGATTATTATCCCCTCCATATATCATCAGTTAACAGTGTTTCTCTCTATCCTCTTTAGCTTTTTTTTTGGATGGGGGGGGACTTGCCTTTTTGGAATTTACAGTCTCGGCTTTTAGGGAAGGTTTTTACATTTGTCTGTGGATATCCAGGGCTCATGTATGAGATTACTAACAAGCATTACTGAATAATCAGATGAGGGACAGTTTACTATGTCTACTAGGTAGCTAAAGTTTGATCCTCAGAGCCTGTGGTTTGGACGGTCAACAATGCTTGGGCCCACAAGGGCTTGGCCTCCTGACTGGGTCTGCACTGTCTGCATCTGAATCCTCCTTATTTATTGATTGTTTAAGGGATGCTGCCTATCTTAGGTGGTCAGTGCGAATTCCTCAGTCTTACCAGTCATTGAGACTCATTGCAGCATGGCAATGGCTCTGTCTTAAGTTGCCGAGGTTCTTCCTCCAGTCTTGATGCCACATTTTTCTTCATAGAACCCAGCTTCTCGGATTATTTGCTCAGCATACAGGCTGAATAAGTATGGTGAAAGAATATAACCTTTTGCACACCTTTCCTAATTTTAACATTCAGTGTTCCCATGCTCTGTTGGAACAACTGCCTCTTGGTCCATATACAGGTTCCTCATGAGCACAATAAGTGTTCCAGAATACTCATACTTCGCAATGTTGTCCATAGCTTATCATGATCCATACAATCGAAAGCCTTTGTGTAATCAATAAAGCACAGGTAAACATCTTTCTGGTATTCTCTGCTTTCATCCAAGATCCATCTGACATCAGCAATGATAGCCCTCTGTTCTACATCCTCTTCTGAATCCGAGTCTAGCCTCATCTTTCTCCCACAGAGCACCTGGTGG